AATAAATAAATAGAATAATAATATCAAATACTCTCTATTCTAGCTAAAGTTATATAAAATATTTTTCTATATTCTTATATTCTATTGAGCTATAGCTTCTAAAAATTTAACTTCAATTCATCTTGTTATCTGCCTTGGAGAGGATTCGAACCTCCATACTTTGTAGTACAAAATTTTGAGTCTTGCGTGTATACYGTTCCACCACCAAGGCTTTATTTGAATTAGAGTAAGTATATCATTAATTGAAGAATATGCATATATGTATATTGTCTATCTATTTTAGATTTGAAGATAATTTAATAATTCTAATTCATTTGAATCTATTATAATAGATTCAAACATTGTATTCAATTCTTATGGAATTTGATGATAATCGAATAAATAATATATTAGAATAAATAATAGTGTATATGAAACTCTATTCATTCAATAATGTATATTAAAGAATATAGATATAAATAGAATAATGTTAATTCATCTTTTTTATTTTCTTATTTCTTTATACTTAATTTATTGTATGTGTACATTTATGATATATTCTTATGTCTATTTGAAAATACATTTTTTACATTTTATTTCTGAAATAGAATGTTAGAATTCATATAGCTATAGATAGCTACATGAATTCTAACATTCTATTTCAGAAATATATTAGTATTAGATGAATGAATCTATTGATTCATTTATTGAAAAATTTTTGAATCAAAATCTTCTATTTGTAAAAAAGTCAAATATGCAAATAGCAATTTGATTTTTATTTGTATATGCTTTGTTGAGCAAAATATATAACAGGATTCATTAATATCCCCACAAAACCARATATAAATGTACATAAATAAATGCTTAATTCAATAGGATTCTGCTTAATTAATGAATTAGATTTATATGTAGAATATTTTTTTACATAATATGATATATCYTTCTCTTTTACTACTACAAGAAATTTGACTATCCTCATGTAATAATAGATTGATACAATACTTGTAAWTATACCTGTTATAACTAAAAAGTAAAAACCAGATTGCCATGCAGACCAAGATAGAAAAATTTTGCCAAAAAAACCTGTTAACGGCGGAATACCTGCTAATGAAAGCAGGCAAAGTGAGAGACAACTAGCAAGCCAAGGATCTTTTGTATAAAGTCCAGTATAATCTCTTATTTGATCAGTACCTGTGCGTAGTACGTTGTTGTTTTGATGTAAGTCGGTTCACTCTCTTTGAAAGAATTTTTCCTTGTTCACTTAAAAATCGACGAAGTAAATCTAGATTTTTATAATCTATTTTTTCTCCTGACTTAATAGGTGGCAATCGACGAYGGGATCGTTGTTTTTGAATTGTTTTTTTTTTCATTACTCTAGAATTGCAGAATTTTTATAAATATATACGTATCAAAAATCAAAATGTTTTCTTATTTAGTTTTACAGTATACCAATAAAGTGTAAGAATCTTTCTTTAGKTTAAACACTGTCACAAAAACCCTATTGAATCTTTATTTTTTGGAGTGTTAATGAATTATTCATTTTTTAATTTCATTGTAAAAAGTATGCTGCTTACAGTTCGAACAATTTTTTTTAAAAATTAAACGGTTAGGTGTATTACGTCGATTCTTTTGAGTAGTATATCTTGAAGATTTTGAAAATTTTGTTTTTTTATTATTACTACAAATATTGCACTCTAAAATAATCGTGATTCGTGTATGTTTACTTTTAGCCATACTTATTTGAGTGAAATTCAATTTATTCAAATTGTAAATAAGAAGTAATTGAGATAGAAGTTGTTATAAAAATTCTAAATAAGAAATTTACAATGAAAATACATACTAAATTTCAATGAACAAGTTCAAAGAATAAACTTAAAATAAGTCTGTAATTCATAACTAATCTATTACATGAAATTCAAATAATTCAATTACAAATGATAATACATAGAGTAAAATTATCAATATTGATAATTTCTTCATTCTATTCATATAGAAACATATTATCATTAATAAAATAGAATAATAATCATCATCATAAATAAATTGAATAGAAATATTCTAGATATAATGTATAGATAGGTATATTGAGATTATATATATATATATATATCTTTAGGACACTATTATAGCATCTATTTATTGAAACTTACTATAATTAGAATATAAATCATATATATGAATGATTTAATTCATAAACTCGATCTAAACGAGAAATCAAAATCAATCAATAAGAAAATTCTACATTTTCTTTTTCATAGTAATTAAATCATATTATTTGATTCTACTATTATTGTCTAGAMTCTAGATTAAGTTTGCATTTGTATATATCATATATTGTGTATATATCATATATTTTATTCATATATTTTATATATTGTATTAGTATATTATTATATTATTTATCATATTATTGGAATTT